TGAAACTGAAGCATGTGATGAGCATGAAGTAACAACCCATAATAAAGAACAGTGGTGTTATATTCGTGAAACACTCCGCTTGGATGATGTGGTAGCGAAATCCGTGTCACGACTGCGTACCTCACCCAACTACAAAGGAATTGTCCCGAGAGTGTTGAAGGTGGTCCTTCAGTCAAAACATATGGTAGCACGGATGCTAAAATGCTGGTACATGTTCCGTTGCAGGCTACCATCTAAAGTTCGGCTGAAGCCAATCAGCAATATGCATCCTAGGGATGATATGTCACTCAAAGAACCAAACGCGATGGGATCTATGAAAGAACAATGCACCAGCAGTGTGCCGAATGCGCCCATACAACCTGTAGAAGATGATATTGACCAGACACTTTACACTGTACCTCGAAGATTAGACACAGAACTAACAACACGGACGATGAATATGACGTCAAACCCTTCACCAAATACACATCGAAGAAAACGATTAGTCGCCGGCCACTCACTGGTCGACGAAACTTCACATATGAGTTTTACAACCTCTGAAACATTGCTTAAATCTGAGAAACTTTCATGTATATACACTAACGCCCAAGAGCTCCTCAGTAAAAGTACCGAACTTCGACTACGTCAGGTTGCGAATTCTTGGGACCTAATTTCTATTACTGAAACTTGGTTACACCAAGTGGTGACTGATGCTGAGGTTGAGATAGCCGGAATGTCACTCATCCGGAACGACCGCCCTAGCAGAGGAGGTGGGGTCCTACTCTACTACCGCAGCGATCTACAATGTACAATAGTTGATGATCTGGAAACACACGTTACCGACTCACTCTGGTGACATCTCCGACTAAGACACAACAACGCACGTCTCGTAGCTGTCGTTTACCGCCCCCCGAAAAAGCAGCTTATGGTTGACAAGTTATTGTTGGGTAGTCCATTAGATTTCAGCGACCGTGTAGTAATAACGTTTAACTAGGTGTGGTATTCAGAGTATCCATCTGAACACTGGGAACTAACTCATACAACCACACGCTACCACGTATTGAAAGAACTCGCCGACGCAGCTGCTTGGGAATTCTCAAACAACATTCCCCTTGACAACGTTTGGACAGCGTTCGTTAGTAGATTCAGTGACATCGTCAACAGAGCATCAGAGACCAAGCCCCTTCGTCCCGCAAAAATGCCTTCAATTCTAAGGCTCAGGACTCGAATATGCCTGGTGATAAGAGATGCAGCATAGCTTGCTTATAAGATTAACGCCCGACTCAGAGACATGGGGCAATTTCCTGACCCATCGCAACCATTGCACTGCACTTGTCCGTGAGGACAAAACAACTTATCAACAGTGCCTAGCCAAAATATTCATGGCAAACAACGAACTGCCATGTAGGCATGTCAATAAGCTTCGTAAAGTGAAGCATGGAATACCCCCACTTTTCACGACAGGAGATATAGTACGAAGCGCCGAAGAAGCAGCTAATGCCCTGCGGCTGCAATACGCCCCAATTTTCGAACTCGCAACCTCCACTTGTCCCATAACGTCATGCACATTACCGACACCATTGTTTACAAATGTAATTTGCAACCCATCAATTGTGTTAAGGAAGTTACTCTCACTGCGTGAGCATAGTTCTCCGGGAGCAGACAACATCCGCCCGAAGGCACTGAAGGCTGTGGCGAACAAGCTAGCTGAACCACTGTCACAGTTATTCCAAAGGTGCTTTGATGAACAACAAGTCCCTACTATGTGGAAGTGTGGCATTATAACCCCTATTTTTAAAGGTGGTAGCCGTTCAGATCCTGGCAACTATCGTCCAGTGACTCTCCTCCCTGTGCTCGCGAAGGAGATGGAAGCGGTCGTCGCTGAGGCTTTAATGGACTACCTGGAAACATGCAACATCTTGGTGCCGGAGCAGCATGGCTTCCGTCCACACCGGTCATGCACCACCAACCTACTGATTGCAGCAGTTGGATGGAAGTGGCCGATGAAGGGGTCGGAGTCGACGTCATCTATCTGGACTTCTCCAAAGCTTTCTACCGCCTTGATCACCGCATCCTACTTCAACGGCTTCAGAGTTACGGAATCGGAGATCCAGTACTTGGTTGGATTGGCAGCTTGCTTCACCAACGGAAGCTTCAAGTACGTGTAAAGGGATCACTCTCTAACCCAATTGAGGTGGAATGCGATGTTCCACAAGGCTCAGTGCTAGGACCGCGCTTATTCCTGGTGTTTATGAACGATCTGGCATTAGTTATCTCCTCAAATTTCCTGCTTTTCGCCGATGACGTCAAGATATGGCGGGTGATTAGTAACAAGCCAGCTCCGGATCTGCTCTAACATGACCTAGATTACATTTACGAATGGTCAAAGATGAACACGCTTCAATTAGACATAGCTAAGTGCAAGTTGATACATCTGCATCACCAGCCAGTGAACGCTTTCTAGCTTGAAGACCACACCCCGGAGAAGGTCTTTCAGGAGCGTGATCTGAGCGTATGAGTACAGGAAGATCTCGGGTGTTCAAAACAAGCAGAGAAGGTGACGAAAACCTGTACTCAACACTTCAGCACGATTAGCAGAGCTTTCGGTCGGTTTGAACCCTCAATCTTTCTCCAAATGCTTAACGTCTACTTGCGACCGCAAGTGGAATATGCTATTTAGATGTGGCAACCGTGGCAAAAACAGGATCTCGTTGCTGCCAAGACCCCTCAAAAAGGGAACCAAGAACGTCAGGGGCCTCTTTCATCTACCCTATCAGCTTAGACCGAAATGTCTATGAATGTACAGCAGTCGATATCGGCTTTTGCGGGGGGATCTCATAATGGTTTAGCAAATTCTGAAGAATCCAAACCACACCTGCCGTCCGCTGCTGGAATTGAACCACAACATTAAACTAAGAGGTCACCCTCTGAAACTGACTATTCCGTATAGCTTGAATACCGTAAAAATTTCTTTTCGCCTGCGTGTGTCAGCCTGGGAACGCCCTCCCTAATTCTGTCGTCTCTGCTCCCAATTTGGCGAGATTTAAAAAACGTGTTGACGATGCTTTGTCACGCATTTCATTTTATGACTTGTTGGCCAGGGGCTACAAAATGCCATCAAACAGTGTCTTACTAAACGCCTAACCAATGGATTTATACGTTTAATACGCGAACAGCTCCGCTATTCCACATAAGTCTATGGTGCGTCCACCACAAGGCTTTTCACTTTATCATGCAATTGATTTTCGTAATAATTCCCATCCTAAGGGACTTGTTAAGAAATTCTTTTTTTACCCGTAATAAACCATTGTTCCACTGTTCCACCTGACTGCGTAGTAGCGCGTTCAGTTCGTTATAATATGTGTCCTTGGCAACATCAGAACTGCAGTCGGTGAGCATAAGCGGAAATCACAACCAAACAGCATTTTGTACCTCGTCGTAAATCAACCTTAGTTGATGTCGTCAAAGGGGCTGCACACAAAGCGATGTTCACCGGAATCCGATCGACCAAGGCTGACAAAGCCTTGGGGCTAAGAATGATACCTAACCCAGCTTGAAACGTGAGTGCTGCATCAGGGTCTCCGGATGCGTGCAACACATAGCGGGAGGACAAGCCGTGCGTAGTTTATTCAACATCACCATTCAGGCTATTGATCCTAGTTTCGCAAACACAAGGCACGCCAAACTACGTGTGTCCCAGGTGTGTGCAAGTGAAGCCTATTTGACCCATTGACCTAATTGTGTTAGAGTGCGAAGGTCGAATACCGCGAGGGAAACGGGACAGCATGGCCTTATAAGGGACTGTTGCTTATGGGCGTGCGGCGGGCGTTGCAGGAAGGTGGCTGCGATGGTTCTACTCCAGTGGCATTTCGGTTGCTGGCAAGTAAGCTGGGAATTATAGAAGGAAGATTAATTATGGGAGTCGGGATGGGAGTAAGCGAAACAGATGGAAAAGAACGAAGGGCGGCGCCAGCTGTAGTATGTTTCCGTTTATCCGCCTTGCTACATGAGGAAGATAAGGCAACCGCTGATAATATGCGCGACGGCCTATGCAGGAAGTAGATAGAGTTTGTGGAAATTGTCATGGTTCTATGTGGGCTGAGATACTGCCAGGGCGCGCAGATGTAGACGGGAGGACGATTAGGTTCCTCAACCAAAGCCTATGAATCAAAAGTCTGTCTGCAAGGCAGCGGGGAGGTAGCAATGATTTAGTTTTACAGAAGTGGACGCCATACCATTTCAAATCCGCAGCCAGGAAAATCAGGAGACCATTTGTCTGACATCTGACCAATGACCAACCTGGTAGTAGCAGGTATCAAGGAGGTCCGGGGGCACCAGCCAGTATAGCTCCATGTGTCAAGGAGGTGCACAAACCGTCGCACCACGTTAAGGTCCAGTCTCGTTGCGACGGAAACACAAGTTATGGGGAAGTGTGGAACTGTCCACAAAATGAACACTATTTAATTTCTGAACCGCATAGTATAAGAAGCTGCGCTAGTCTTGCCTCCAAACAGTGGCCAGTCACGCAAGCGAAGCACCCATGACGTACCAAATCTTCAATCAAGGTAACTCGGTGGGTCGTATCAAAGCGCAAACTGTCTCATTCTGTCAATATCCATCTACATAAGCTTGGATTACGGAACCGCAATTCTGCAAGTATGCTGAGTTTTAGAAGACGAATGTTAGGGCCATGAGGTACAAAATGGGACATGAACGATTCGAGTGACAACAACGACAAGCAGTGTTATGCATATCACGTAGACTAAGTTGGGCTCAGCAAGCTATGACAAGGTGAAAACTTCTATCCACGTCAGGTGCCCAAGTAGATTAAAATTATTTAAAGGCTGAAGTTTGTGGAGGATTTAGGTCGTCTTGGTAAGACGGAAAGAACTAGAATACAAGCAAAAAGCTTTAGAAATACGCGGTTTTCGCCTCCCAAAGAATTGGGATAAAGCGGAGCCCACTGTAATCCGTTTTCCAGCATTCACTCCCTGGCGAATATCAAAAGTAAAAACTTGATTATCACTGGGCTGAAAAGTGGGTTTTAATTCAACACTTAGTCAGATGTCACAAAACCCATGTTCAGAACCCGCCCGTTTTCAAATGGTTCATGATCTGACTGAGTTAATGTGGCAAATGTGGCTTAGACGCGGAAGAGAAAGCCGGGTTTACCAACCGAATGTCACGGGCAGAATGATGACACTACACAAGCTGTACGGGAAGGAGATTAAGAAATGGACACAAAGGGCGCTCTTTGAAATGACAGCTTGAAGGTGATAACACAATGAACGTAGCGAGCACGGAGGAGAAATGGGACTAAAACCATACAGAAGCTTAAGGTTAAAAAGCCCTAAATTCCCTCCAAGAATATCTAGGCATTTGAGATTGCAAGCTGGTCAGTATTCTTCGCCCATATCTTCACCCTCGGCTTCCACACTATCTGCACCAACCTCTTCGTAGTCCTTTTCAAGTGCAGCTAAATCTTCTCTGGCCTCGGAGAACTCGCCCTCCTCCATGCCTTCACCAACGTACCAATGAACAAACGCACGTTTTGAATACATCAGGTCAAATTTGTGATCCAGTCTGGCCCAGGCTTCTGCTATTGCCGTTGTATTGCTAAGCATACATACAGCTCGTTGCACTTTGGCCAAATCCCCGCCGGGAACCACCGTCGGTGGTTGATAATTTATGCCAACTTTGAATCCAGTAGGGCACCAATCAACAAACTGGATGGTTCGTCTTGTCTTAATCGTGGCAATAGCAGCATTCACGTCCTTTGGCACTACGTCACCACGGTACAACATGCAGCAGGCCATGTACTTCCCATGACGTGGATCACATTTTACCATTTGGTTTGCTGGCTCAAAGCAAGCGTTTGTGATCTCAGCGACACTCAGCTGTTCATGGTATGCCTTCTCAGCGGACACAGTGGGAGAGAAGGTGGCCAATGGAAAGTGTATTCGGGGATAGGGAACCAGGTTTGTTTGGAACTCTGTTATATCAACATTAAGGGCTCCGTCGAATCGTAATGAAGCAGTAATAGAGCTGACTATTTGGCCAATCAGTCGATTTAAGTTGGTGTATGTGGGGCGTTCGATATCCAGGTTGCGTCTAGAAGGAAAACAGTAGATGCGGGGCCATATAATAGGGAAGGCAAATTACACCAAGATGCAACATGGATGTTGACGAATTTTGGAAAACGCACTGCTAATTGAGAATGGCGATTCGTTGTTGTTACTCCACAGGTCACTTAGTTGACTTTAGTCTTGTTTTAACTCTCCAGGTTAAGACAGTCGAGTAGTTTGGTACGTCAACACAAAAGTGTCGGTGAGCACTCTTCTAAAAGAGCTAATATTGTCCCATTTCAGAGTAGCTCTGAACAATTTAAATTTTAACAGTAATAAACATTTTGAAATGCAAAACTAGGTAGAGTGTATGCCTAGGTGAAAAATATATTCCCCGGCTGTTAGCTCTCCGGAACGATGTCCATGCATTACCGATGACTCAGTCGGCGTACCCATATGTCTTTTTCGTTTTTTTTGTATTGCGGCACAATAGTTGAGGTGTTTTCCACCTGCAGCTAACGTGCATAATAATAATAATAATAATAATAATGATGATGAAGAAGAAGAAGATGATGATGATGATGGTGTTGATGATGATGATGATGATGCTGATGATGATGATAATGATGATGATGATTTTGACGATGGTGATGATGATTTTAATGGTGATGATGATGATGATGACGATGAGGATGATGACGATGATGATGATGATGATTTTGATGATGATGATGATGATGATGATGATGATGATGATGATGATGATGATGATGATGATGATGATGATGATGATGATGATGATGATGATGATGATGATGATGATTTTGATGATGATGATGATGATGATGATGATGATGATGATGATGATGATGAGGATGAGGATGATGATTAGTATGATGATGATGATGATAGTGATGATGATGATGATGATGATGATGATGATGATGATGATTTTGATGATGCTGATGATGATGCTGATGATGCTGATGAGGATGATGGATGATGATGTTGAGGATGATGATGATGAGGCTGGTTCTGCTGATGATGTCGACGATGATGATGATGATGATGATGATGATGATGATGATGACAAATCACATTCAGCAGAAACAAGGAATTTGTGATACGAAAAATTTAAGTTTTGGCTTATAATTTTGCCTACCCTCTTCGCTAGCATCATCGACCACGAAAACAAGGAACTCTAGTGGAACTTGCAGATACATTTGGAGTTTAGCGTGCTGGCCACAATTTTTGACGTAAATCTAGGCCTCGTCAAATGCTCCTACGTTTGACCTGATTTGGAGTCTTCTGGAAAGCCAGTTTTACTTCGGTAGCAATTATACACAACCTAGAGGGAAAAACAACGATTGAAGGGCAGCTTCACTGCCAAGGAACCACCACCAGTCGCGATGATCACTCGCTCCCGTACACAGGCTCCAACCGGCGATATCTGCATTTTAAGGCAGACGACGCCCAGCCTTAAGGATCACAAGCCTGCCTTGTAAGCCGAGGATGCGTGTTCGAACCTAAATAGAGAACAGGCGACCCTCACATTATTTTTGGCCATGTGCGACTAGTGATGGTTGCGCGGCAGCGTAGCTTCTGTACTGCGTACCGGCGTACTGCTGATGTTGTGACCCTTACTATCACGGTCCAGCAAAACCCGTGTGGCTAAATGAGATCAATCGCTACTCTGTGTTTGACATTTAGTTACCGTTAAGGAGAGAATTAATATGACCCTTTTCTAGAGGACTTATCAAGCCCCAACTGTACGGTTTGGACGATGAGCAGAAATCTGTTGCAATGTGAAAGTTCTCATATACATTGCCTCAATCGTTAAATTTGTATGGACATGGTGACGGAGATTCATTCTTTAGTCTCTCTATGGAGATGTATGAGACCGTCATTCAGAGTCGCGTGTTACTGAATTGAAGCACCATGTCGGTATCGGTTTCGTAGCCAATTCGATTACGGAGGCCTCCAGGCTAAAATAACCAAATGACGACGAACCGAAGACTCGTCATGTAGGGCCCATTAGGACTACCTATAGGGTTTGCACTTGGAGGAAGATGTGCAACTGAAAATTCAACACGTATCATCCAACACGCGTATATCTGTGCATCGCGGTCACGAAAGCCACTGAAACTTGCAAAGGTTGGTCAATCCATTCGTCATTCTAATTGTTAGATCATATCTACGAACATGGTGTTTAGAGGATGTAGCTCCGACGTAAACAAATGACTGGCAGAGCAATCACAGTCACCATCGGTGATGGGCAACCGAAGAAGCGAATGCTGTGGGACGACATGCTAAATTAATTTCAGGTGTCAAATATCGAGTGAAAGTGGTTAAAAACGCAGTAATACCTAGTCTGCATAACTAGCTGTTATATAGATTCCATCTGTTTGCGATCCGGAGCAGCCAAACCTCCAACTCCGTGAGCTGTTAAGTGAGATACGTCGATACTGCGGCAAGTACACTTGTGAGTGATATTTACCGGGAGCATTGGCACTATAGTTCGAGAGTAAATGCCGGTTACATGGATAATCAGATCTATAAGCATGTAGACATAGCATAAATTGCTTCTTGACTTTAGTCCGCTTAGTACTAACTCTGCCAACGGAGTTCATTTACTTTGGGAACCATCTCTAGAGATGAAAACGCTGTAGATAAATAAATACATAAATAAACGTTTTATTCCTCAGCAGTGCGAGGCACAGACCAATTGTGTGGTCCTATCAACATGTACAACGTGATCGCATAATATAGTTAATTATTCGTCTTTTGATCAATGGTTCCCATATGGGTTTTTGAAATGATTACCAGTTTGGAAAAAGTAGAGAGATAAAGAAACTGGGAACAATAATAAATGTAGATTTTGCGGAAAATTCAAGTAAAGTAATACGGTCAACCATAGAACTGTCCCCAGGGGGCTTGTTTCCATGCAGGGTATTCCCACGATGGGTTTCACCTGCACTTCCATGCTCCAATTGGCTCTGTGCCTGTGTGGCAAGATAGTAAATAGGTCATCAGAACTAGGTGTCAAATGTCTTTTTTTATTTTTAGGGCTGTTTTATGCATACATTATAGACGACGAAACCTCAGCCCTTTCTGTCATGCGGATCAATCAATTATGGCACTTTTTTGTTTTAAGCCAGCGAGTCAGTAGTAATATGATTTGCATGGTTATACTTTTTTAATTTGGAAGCTGTAATCCGTCACCACAAGAGATCAACCCAGTCATGACCAACGGTGAAACAAAGAAGAAGATAAAGTATGAGGAATTTTAAAACATAATGATGAATACAAACGCTTGAAGATAGGCCAAGCACAATTTGATGGAAAATCTTGGCGAGTGACGACGATGGTACAGAGACATCAGCTTGAAAGGTGTAGTGCATCTACGAACCAGTGCGTCAAAGGAGAAAACAGAATTGGTTAGACGGATTAATAGGAGTAAGATCGTTCTCAAATATATACTCAAGAATGCAATTATATGTAGGTAATCTTATATTATTGAAACGAATAGAGGATATGGTGACTTTCATACGTATCCAAGACCTTTCCCATACAAATCATCTAGAGTCATCGTTTGGCTTAGTGTTGACCAGGTGTTTGCAACAGTCAGGTGAATATTAATCATGCGTCTGAATTGTGCATAGGTAGTGCAGTTTCTAACACTCGATGGAAGTTCGTTCCATATTAACGCATATTTTACAGAGAAAAATTTTGAGCGGAGCTTTGTGCGAGACTTTGGTATTTTCACTGTGCGCTGGCTGTTTCTTAATTCATAACGCATACTAGTCTGAAACTCGAGTTGGGGCTGAGCAGTGAAGGTTAATCCGAATAGTAAGCGGTATAGAAGGCACAGATTAAGTTTGAGTCTGCGTAGCTATAGCGGCTCCAGATTTAGCGCCACGCAACGCTCACGGTATGTCATAGTATTAGGCATGTTCAGAAACCTTTCTGTGAATGATCGTTGAATGTATTCTAGTGCTATAATATCCACTTTTCTCAGATTACTATGCACTATCGTACAGTACTCAAGTTTCGGCCTAACACATATTTTAAGGGCTTGAAGCCTGGAATCCCTCAAAATAAGAGTACGACTTATATAGGCGATCACTTTTCTGGCAGAAGCCTGCAAAAATATAACATTCTCTAAAAAGTTAAATGAGGCAGAATATTTTAGCCCAAGGTCTCGGACTGCGCCACACACAGGAATAGGGGTATCGTTTAATGTAAGGATGTTCAGAGAAGGGCCACAGCCGTAGTACAATAGATTACTTTTGTCCGTGGCAAAGTGCAGCTTCCAGGAGTTACTCCAGAGCTCCAATGCGGACAAGTCAGACTGAATATAGGCTAAGTTAGGACTACATTGCCCAGGGGCGGAACAATACACAATTTTAACAACATCTGCTAAAGGAACGGCTTTCCACACGAGATTTCGTCAAGGAGATTGTTGAAATAGATTAAGCATAAGTGCGGGCCTAGCACGCTACCTTGAATCACTCCACTAGAGATTGTAGTGGCTTCAGATGTATAGTTACCGATTTTGACTACTTGCTTTCTACCTTCGATGTAGGAAGACAACCAATCTAGAAGCGAATTAGTGATACCATAGGACATAAGCTTCAGCAACAATAAATTGTGTGGGACACTGTCAAAAGCCTTTTGGATGTCAAGAAATATTACGAACATAGCCCTTCCGGCGTCTCTTGCTCTAGTCACATAATCAAGGTAATCTAACTGGCAGGTAGTGCATGATCTACCTTTCAAAAAACCGTGCTGATGTTTACTGAGAAGGCTCATAGAACTCAAATATTCTATTATGCTTTCTTTAACTATCCTCTCCATGATTCTGGAAATAATAGATGTGTGGTGGATTGGGCGGTAATTTTTTACATCTTGCATAGATCCGCTTTTGTGCCTTGGTATTATAGTTGATAGTTTCCAGTGTATAGCATACTCCCCATTGAGCATGGAAAGTGTAAATACAATAAGCAAAAACAGGGGGATGTTTGGACCTCCTTGCTTTACCAGTAT